CTTTTGGTTTCTGAAAATTCAGTTTCCCCGGGGGAAGATAGCTTTTCTTGGAGCAATAGCAACCCCTGGTGGCCTTGCCCCACCGCAGGCCTCTCCACAGGGTGGAGACCTGAGCTGAGTAAGGGAGGGGGCGGGTTGCTTCTCTACTAGTCGCTCACCAAAACCACAGACCCAGGGGGTGAGAGTTAGAAGGGAACAGCTTGTCATTCTGTAGCCTCTGCACTTTCTCCCTGAGCAGCCTTGTCCCTCCTCACAGTTGCCCTTTATCTGCCCTAACCATGCATCATCCTTCTAAACCCCAATCCCAGCCCTGAGCCCCAGACCTGTGCATCTGGCAGCTCTTGTGCATCTCCCCCATGCTACTCTCCCTTCCCTTCCCCAGGGCCAAGCCACGTACCTGGGAGTCTTCCCTGTCCACTCCTTCCATCCCCACACCTAACTCATTCTGGAACTCATACATCCTAAAAATTCTTCCCTCCTCTCTACCTCTAGGTTCAGGTCTCATCACCTTGAGCCTTGCTAGTGGCAACTGTCTCCTCACTGGCTATCCTGCCTGTGTCTCCCACCCTACCCCAGTCCTCCACAATGACCTTCTAAGATGCAAATCTCCCTTTTCTTTTTTTTTTTTTTGTCTTTTTTCGTGTCCGGCAACGGATTGCAACCCTCAGTGTTGCGCCTGCACCGGGCCGGGACCGGCAACGGGATCGCAACCCTCAGCGCTGCGCCCACACCTCGCTCAGCCAGTGAGTGGGAACCGGTCTGTATGTGGGATCCGAACCCTTGGCGGGAGCGCCGCCACACTCCTAAGTGGCGCACTGTAGCAGTGCACCACCGGGCCGGCCCGTGGCTCACTCGGGAGAGTGTGGTGCTGATAACTCCAAGGTCATGGGTTCGGATCCTATATAGGGATGGCCGGTTCGCTCACTGGGTGAACATGGTGCTGACAACACCAAGCCAAGGGTTAAGATCCCTTACCGGTCATCTTTTTAAATAAATAAACAAACAAACAAACAAACAAACTTCAATCTCCTATCCCATTAAAAAGCTTTTCCTTATTCAATAGCCAAGACTTGGCCCAAGGTCCAAAGACCAGCAGTGGGGAGAGAAATTTTCTGTTCCTTGCCCCCCACTCCTGCTTCTCTGGTCCCCCCTGAGGCTCCTTGTCCTCTTCAGGAGGGAGGAAGAAACAGGGGGTGGGTGCCACTTACCTAGTGCTATGGTCAGCCTCTCCCAGATTCAGACCTCCTAGAGGGTGGTGATGCCCAAAGCTGGCTGCTCCATGCAGGCTCCTTTCTCAGAGTCCTATTGGCCCACAGAATCTCACCTGCCCCCCCAAACCCCCTCTATTCCCCAGCCATCTCTCTCCAGGGTCTATTTCCCTTGTTCAGTAAGGCCCAAAGGGCAGGCGAGCAAGCCCTCCACCCCAAAAGACAGCCATGCAGAAGTGGGATGCCAGTGTGTCCATCAGGTAGGTCCCCAGCCTTGGGAGACTGCACCTACTGTCTTTGGTAGGCATCACCCTTCCCCTCTGAGCAGCGGAGGGAAAGTCACTGCTGTCGGGGTCCAGCCACTCCATCCTCCAGTGCTGCTGTGCACAGCCTCTGCACAGTCTGCCTGCCTTCTCTCATGTCAACTGCGGTGGGGGGAAGGCCTTCAGGGTGGGTCTGGCAACTTCTTTTAGGATGCGTGTGGTACTCAGAGGCTATTATTTTTAATTTTGGAGCTTAGCTGCAATCCTGAGACTCAAGTTGATTCAGAAATCTTCATCAAGCACCATTCCAAGTTCCCTTACCACTGGTTGTCTTCCTCTGGGATGAACTCTAACCCATCAAGGCCCTTCTTAAAATACACTGTCCAGGGGCTGGCTAGTATGCTCAGTTTGTTAGAGTGCAGTGTTGTAACGCCAAGGTCAAGGGTTTGGACGCCATGCTGGCCAGCCACCAGAAAATTTTTTAAAAAAATACAATGTCCAGAACAACACTCCAAGTGTGGAGGACAATGGGAATGTCAGCGTCCCTCATCTGGACATTTTTATATTCTTTTTACTTTTTAGACAGCCACTTCACAGTGTTGTTTCATAATAAGCTTGTGGTCTGCTAAAACCCCCAGCTCTTCTTCACTAGACATGCTGTACTCTTCAACTGGTCTTTACTCTCCATTTCTTATGCTGTTGATTTGTTGAAACTAAAACCAGAATTTTACATTTATCCCTATTAAATATCACCTGGTTCATTTTTTCTATTCTTTCCAAATCTAACTCTCAGTTCTTAATCTGTAGATTTGATAAACATGGCTTCTATGTTGTCATTAAAGTCCTTAAAACTTAGTAGTCAAAACCAAGGACAGAATCCCCTCGGGGAAGCCCACAGAGCCCTCCTTAGATTGCTCATGGACATCTCTGGGGATGGCTGTTGAACTGACTCTGTATTCACCACCCACTGTAGGATCACTTAGCTCATATGTCCTGGGTGCGAGGACATGGTAAGAGGTGCAGCCAAAGGCCTCACAAAAATCCCAACAACCCAGTGCAACTGCCAGAGGAAGAGAGGAGGCCACCAGGCATATCTTGTGCCCATTGAGCACCTGCTGGCCCCTAGAGGGAGCCTCGTTTTTCTCTAAGTGCTTCACATATTGGTTATCTGTTTGGAAACTGGTAAGCATTGATGTTGGCTCCACCAGGCTGTGGTCACTGAAATCCACCTTCTCCTATCTTAGGAAAATCAACACCACACTCTTCCCCAGTGTTCTTGACCATCTGTGCTCCTGATGATCCCCCAAACTCACTGAGAATGGTTCATGGGGGGAGGTCTTCTCCAGCTTTATGGCTTTCATCATGATGGTCCTCAAAAAGGCTTTGTACAAAGCCTCGTCCTGGTTTCATTTGATTCTCAGAACAAACTTATGGTGATGAGTAGGTATTAATCTCCTTTACCAGATAGATAAACTGAGGCTCACGTAGAGAAGTTATGTGATTTGTTCAAGGTCATTCAGCTAGAAAGTGCAAAAGTCAGCCCCACTGCTCTTTGCATGAGACACAATGCTAAATGTCTCTCTTCTAGGTGAGGAAACTGGGAGAAAAACCCCTCACTCCAATGCCACCCCATCTCTCCAGGGGACCCCCAAGGATCCCAGGAGACCTTAAATATTCATCACCCCTCTCTTCACAGCCAGGAAGTGAAAGGGAAGAGGATGAGACCCGAAGTCAGTTCTCCTGGCCACAACTCTTGGGAGTCCCCAGCCTAAACCAAACAGTAGGATTTGTGAGGTATGTGAGGAGGGAGAAGGCTGGGCATCCCAGATCCCCAGCACTGACTCTTAGCCAATCCCCTCACTGCATGGCCCACCAGCCCCTCCTTGGCCTCCATTCCACATATCCGTGGTAAATTCCAAAGCCCACTTGGCCTGCGTACAGGGATGGGGTGGAGCTAGACTACTCAAGGATTGAGGCTATTGCTGGGACGGCCTCTTGGTCACTGACCCTGCTGCACCCTCTACCCAGAGAACCCTCTTCATCCTCTGTGCTCCCCCAGCTCTCTCCCTCCAGCACTGCAGGGGCTGTTAAGTAGTGTAATCACCTTTTTATGTTTACCTCCACCACTAGTCTATGACTGCCCATCATTGTTGACCTCACATTACCAAACTATGAGCATTTCCGGGGCTGGGACAGGGTCCCTGCAATCTCTTTGGTGCTGACACATAGTAGATGCTCAATTAACACTTGCAGACTAATTTGGATTTACGTGAGTAGAAATTCATCCCCCAAAGATCCCCCTCTGTCTCATTATCCCTGAGTCTCCTCCCTTTTTCTTCTTTATTACCCCAAATACCACCTATCCCTTACCATCCAACTCAAGGACAACCCCTCTTCCAGAAAGCCTTCCCGACTACTCCTACCCTCAGTGAGCTCTCCGTTTCCTGAACTATAGAATCCTTGAAAGACTGTTTTGAGGATTAAGTCAGACAATGTAAGTAAAATGATAGAACAGGATTTGGCACACCACAAAGGCTCGATAAACTTGGGCTGGTGGTTATGGACAAACGAGGTGCCTCTTCCTTCTGCTTCCTCTTCTAAACCTGATCCGCACGTCACCAGGGGGCGCCCTCAGCCCAAAATCTCTGACCCCGACAGGGTGCGGTGCCCTTCCTGAGAACTGGGAGAGAACTTCCTAAAGTGGACCTCAGTAGTTATACGGAAGAGTTGTAGGGAGGATGGAGGGGAAAACATGCCTAAGTCCACTACACCCCTTTGCCTGGTCTCTCCTTTCCGGATGGAGACTGAGACCATAGGGTATGTGCTTGAGTGTGTGTGTCTCCCAATATCAGATACCTGTTCTTGTTTTCCAGGCAGTGTCTCTCCCGATTCTCTCTGCAATGCTTTCTTCCCTTCAGTATTTCAGGACGGTGTGCATTTACTATTTACAAAAATCACGGCCACATCTATCCTTTCAGCAGCCCACGAGATTTCCATTATCTGTCCCATTTTATGAACGAGAAAACTAAGTCCTGGGGGAATTCAGTAAGTGATAGCTCTCTTGAGTGTGCCAAGTAACAGATTCGCACACCTTCCCAGGCCGGAAACTCCGGGCACCCCGTCCCCAGGCTCAGTTCTGTGAATCGTCTGCTTTTTTCGGGGCTTACGACCCTTTCTCAGGCCTCTTCCTTCAGCAAGACACCGCCATCAGGACGGATTCTCCAGGACATGGGTTCTTTAGTTCTACTTTCCAGGACCCTGGGGAAGCAGGGACAGAGGTTGCAGCCGTTTCCCTGAACTCTAAGGGGTTAAGGCCTGGGTCCCACCCCTTTTCCCGCCCGGCTGGCGGGAGTATGAATAGCCTCGCTCCCGCTCCTGACTCTCAGTCGCTCAGGCTGCGCCCCGCCCCGCCCCGCCCTGTCATTGTCCCCGTCGGTGTCCTTTTCTCTTTCCTCCTAAAAGCTTTGAGAGCCGCTCCCTTCTCCCAGTGCGCCGCGGCTGTCCACCCTCGGTGGGTCAGACGAGCAGGATGGAGGGCTGCATGGGGGAGGAATCTTTTCAGATGTGGGAGCTCAATCGGCGCCTGGAGGCTTACTTGGCCCGGGTCAAGGCGCTAGAGGAGCAGAATGAGCTGCTCAGCGCGGAGCTTGGGGGTCTCCGGGCACAGTCTGGGGACACCTCCTGGCGGGCCCGTGCCGACGAAGAGTTGACGGCCCTGCGGGCCCTCGTCGACCAGCGCTGGCGGGAGAAGCACGCGGCCGAGGTGGCGCGCGACAACCTGGCAGAAGAGCTGGAGGGCGTGGCGGGCCGATGCCAGCAGCTGCGGCTGGCCCGGGAGCGGGTGGCGGAGGAGGCGTCCCGCAGCCGGC